TAACATTGTTTTCTTTCTTTCTTTCTTTCTTTCTTTCTTTCTTTCTTTCTTTCTTTCTTTCTTTTCCCCCTTCATTCTGATCCGTTTACTTCGCTTATACATGCGGGCGAATGGTGACAGTGAAGAGATGTATTTCCCTACACCATTTATGCCATTGGTGGACGGACGCTTGACCTTAGATTTCATACGTGTCAACCTCGTGACCACTAAGAGACGCAGAGGCTCCAAAATTCAAGAATTGGCAGTTAGAAGGGAGCGACCGAAACTAGCAAACCAACACTCTTTTCTTTATGTCTAACAAAAATTTTCCGTTTCTCAGGACCTTGTTTAGCTTTTGGTAATTCCTCTTTCGCTAAACCAATGCGTACTTCGGATCACGGTGCCGCATTTCCCATCCTCTGTTAAAACGTTTCCCAGACACTTGAACTTCTGCACCTGCTTTATGCTTATATCTCCAAATCGCAACACCCATCTTGTGTGTTTGTGTTTGTTTTCTTGCTACTGAGCATGTCTGAAGGTACTAAGTCATATAAAAAAAGGAAATAACACGTTCATAGATTTCTTAACTAACAGTGACTTATTGGTATAATTTACATTGTTCGGACTGTTATCCTCATTTTTGTTATAATATTCACGGCGTTTCGGCCTTCTTCAGGTGATTGGATAAAAGCGTTGGTTGGATCCAATGATTTGACTCAAAGCGCTGTGAGTTCAATAACTAGCTACTGCAGTGGTGAACAAAAACTTGGAGAGTTGCGTTAAAGAGAGATAACTGAGACACCCGGAAGAGGCACGGCACGTGGAACTAGAACAATCTACCCCGGTGGGCGAAAGAAAGGGTCCGGATCGAAATACCAATACAGTAAATAATTACAATACCTCAACTCAGAAATATAGACAGATAACACTGATTTCTACGAGATTTGTTGACGTTAAAAAATTTATTTCGGTGAAAATACTTGGGCCCTTATCTTCGCTATACCTTCGTGGGTTAAAGCGTGAGGAGGGGGCACGGTGGAGTAATGGATAGCGGCTTGGATTGAGGAATCGGACAGCCGAGATCGAATTTCAGTCGAATCCATTACATTTACTTACGTGCTAACACCCTTGGGAAAGGTGTGAATCCTCTTTCTTCTCCCTTCAGCTATGGGTAAATAGCAGGACAGACTGTGTTCTATAGCCTTGGATGGCAACTGGTCTAAGAGAAGGAAAACTCTGAATTCAAACCTGCTCTTAGAGGAGGGTGAATGGAGTCTCTCTGAGCCTTGGTTGGCAATCCATTTCGTGTTGGTGTCACGATAAAAACACCCTTGATAGCCCTAGCGAAGCATCAAGAATTCAGCTATTTGACAAGATTATGAACTACACCAATCAAAGTATTGGTGAGTTCAAGATGGCCGCAATATGATGATGAAGGCGTAATTATATTTTCAGTTTGTTGTTTTCTCTTTCTTACTTGCAATTCTAAAACAAAGAATTCCGTTTTTCCCTTATTTCTTCTCTTTCTTGTTTCGTTTTCTTTCACTTCGTCTTTACGACTTTGTCTTTCCTTAACTTGCGTGGATAAACAAGACAAAGAAACAATACTAAGAAACAATACAAATTCCATTTCTTTTTCTTTCCAATTCATCTTTCTTTTCTTACTCTTTTCGCCTAACGGCTATATCACGTACAAACACCGATTCTACTCCGATCATCGAAGTTAAGCAACGTCAAGCCTGATCAGTACCTAGATTTGGTGATGAGTTGGGAATGCCAGGTTTTGTGCTGGTGGTGTAGTGGACAAGAGGAGAGGAGAGTTTCTATTCCAATCGGGGTTCGTTATATTCGCCTAGGCGCAAATACCCAGGGGAAAGATATGAATTCATCTCTTCTCTCACAGCTAAAGGTTAATTGGTAGTACTTGTATCGGTAAATCATTATCATCTCCAAGAAATAATTACGATCCCAAAATATTTTCTTGTTTTAAATATCCAGCAAAAGATAGATAAGCCGTAAAAAGCAAATCCGTCAATCAATCAATTAATCCTAACAGTGAACAACTTCGTCTTTTCCTTTGTCTACTTTTCTTTCTCTCCCCTAAAATTATCTTCTATCAATCCTCGTTCTTACTATTTACAATATTTACTATTGCCGCCATCTTTACATGCAGACTATTGCCGCCATTATTGAATGCGGACTATTGCCGCCATTATTACATACGGATTATTGTCGCCATATTTACATACTGACTATTGTTCTCATCTTCACATGCTGTCTATTTTCACTATTTTTACAAGCAGACTATTGTCCCCGTCTTTACATGCTGACTATTTTCCCCATATTTACTTGCGGACTATTGACCCGATTTTTACATGCTGGCTATTGTGCTCATCTTTACATGCTTTCTATTGTTCCTATCTTTAAAGACAGACTATTGCCCCGTCTTTACATGCTTTCTATTGTTCCTATCTTTACAGACAGACTATTGCCCCCGTCTTTACATGCTTTCTATTATTCCTATCTTTACAAACAGACTATTGCCCCCGTCTTTACATGCTTTCTATTCTTCCTATTTTTACAGACAGACTATTGCCCCGTCTTTACATGCTTTCTATTCTTCCTATTTTTACAGAAAGACTATTGCCCCCGTCTTTACATGCTGACTATTGTCCTCGTCTTTACATGCTGTCTATTGTCCCTATTTTTACAGACAGACTATTGATGACTATTGTCACTATTTTTACATGCGGACTATTGTCCACATCTTTACATGCGGACTGTTGTTCCTATCTTTACAGACAGACTATTGCCCCCCATTATTACATGCGGACTCTATCCCCCATTTTTACATGCAGACTATTGACCGGATTTTTGCAAGCTGACTATTGTCCTCATCTTTACATGCTGAATATTCTTATTCTTACAAGAGCACCATTGCCACCATTTTTTCATGCAAACTATTGTCCCCATCCTTACATGCGGACTAATGTTCCAGTCAAACATGCGGACTATCACCCCAATCTTTACAGGGTGACTATTGTCCGCCATATTTACATGCGGCCTATTGCCCCCATATTTTCATGCAGACTATTTTCCCCATTTTTACAAGCGGACTATTACCCCCATCTTTGTATGCAGGCTATTGGTTTGCCCCCATCATTATATGCTGGCTATTGCTTGCGCCTTTACATGTGTACTATTCTCCCAATCTGTACATGCTGACTATTCACTGCCCCCATATTTACATCCGGGCTAATGTCCTCATCTATTGTCGTTCCTACTTCTCATTTTTAAGGCTATGTTCTAGGGAATAGTCTACCTTAGTAAATTATGTATAGGTTTCTGTTCGGAAACTGTAGGTTACCCGGATTGGTATACACATGATGAAGTCCGAAACTTTGTAATAACAACAACAAAGATGAGGGCATTAGTCATGTGAATCGTAAAAACTCCCCATTTCAAATATTCAGTTATAAATCCTCGTTCTAATGTTTCCAGTCTAGTCCCTTTCCTCTACCTTCTCCTCCTCATCATCCACCTCCTCCTCCTACTCCTTCTTCTTTGCTAGATAGGGAGATGACAGTTCATTTCTCTTTCTTTTTTCCTGTTTTTTTCTTTTCAGGGATGGTATGAAGGAAATCTTTTGCTCGCTTATTCTCTCCAGTTAGGACACGGAAATAACCGTTCTGCATAAATTCCCTAGAACATAATCGGCGCGGGGATGAATTCAGCGATTGGTGCCGAATGGAGGCTGAAAATTCACGAGTGCGAAGGGGGCCTATTCACCTCTGACTATATAACACTTCGCTTATTTTTGTCGAGAAATCTATGCAAATAATTTCATGAATTTCCCAGGTGAAAAGTCTGGTTCAATATTTCATCACCTTTTTTTTTTTTTTAATATCTGGTGACCTCACCTTAGAGCATCATCGTCTGAAAAAAAAATTCCCGATCGAAATTAGTATATAATTACAATATTTTTTTTATGTCAGGTAGCCGGATGACAAAGCGGAAATATCTACCCACTAACATCTTACATATATTTAATCACAAAGTGAGACCTACCAAACTCTATCCGAAATATACTCGTTGATGATACAAATAGCTTCATCCATATGTAAAAATAGGCTAAAAATAATGGAAGCATTTTTAATAAAAAAAGAAAAGCCAACGCTCAATAACATCAACTATGAACACGGCCACAATGTGATGACTGTGTTCAGAAAATAAAAATATTCCTATAACTCTAGATACATTCATTAAAAAAATTCATGTATTCAGTTAAATGTAAAAATAAAATCATCCTTGATAACGGCTAAAAGAATAGCCGAATGCGCTCGCTCATATAAAAAATTAGGACAATTTTTGCGTAACTTATGTCCAGAAAAGAGGGAAATTATAAGAAAACAAGAAAAATTAAATAAAAAACTAAATGGCAGTAACTTGTCAGTCGTTTTTAAGTAAACTTGTATAAAAGAGGGATTGCATAAATATCCACAAAATACAAACCTTGAAAACAAGTGTGGCAGCTTTCGAAAGTACTCGAACAAAATATAAAGTAAAGATAATTATGAACTTTGGCAAATTTACCGATAACATAAAACAACTGCTTCGGAAATTTGAAAAATTTAATAACAAATTTGATAGAACTTATCAATATTATTAAATGGCTCTCGAACTATTTGCTCTCCCCAAATTTGTTGAACCCACATCCAAATGATTATCACTTCCGCTTTCTCAGCAAAAGACCTAGTTTCGAATCTCACCATGGTCGATTTTTTTAGGGCTGTAACTTTTCGATGTTTTTCATGTTATCGGCCTGGAAAAGTGACCCCAGCATGCCGTAATTTTGGAAAGGGCCTGAAATCCATACCACGGTTTGAACCATACCATGTCTTCTTACTTTGCAGGTGTTTCTTAAAAATGTACATATTCGATGCCCTTTATTTTTTGTCATTTAATTACTAGTATAGCAGTATCGTATTTATAGGGGTATCGTATTTATAGGGGTATCGTATTTATTTCTTGTATATTCGTACCGAATTCTGCATTTGACAAATCTACAATAATATTGTGACTAATTTAAACAACCGGTTACTATATCATCATCAAAATTATCATCGTGGGTGTTCACGGCCCTCCATAGCTTCCTATCATAGCTCTAAGTAAGGTTTGACTCTTTACTACTCTTCTTTGTTCCTGTACTGCTATCCATTCACATAAACCCATTAGATATGTTGTTTCCTATTTCCCTCTACACCTCCTTACCTGAATACGTCTTATTCGTGTTAAGATTTCCAAGCCGTTCTTTCTCATAATGTGTCCCAGAATTTTTAATTGTCTTTTTATAATTTTAAGTATGAGAAGTTTTATAGCTCCCATTTTCCATAGAACATAGACAACTGAAAGAATCAGTGCATATCCTAAGCTATGAGGACTCCCCTAGTATGGAAATAAATACAATTCAATAAAGAAAAAAATAAAGAAAGGAAGACAAATGACAACGAGTCTTTAACCGCAACAACAGCAGCAATCAAAACAGACGGTAATAGCAGCACTAAAAACATGACATATACAGCAGCAGAGATTGCAACCTAATCAGTAGACAGGTACGATTTAAGGGTATATGTTAGTCACAGAAAATTATCATAAATACGCGAATTTGGCGAGATAGCGGTTATGAGTTCAGTCCCTGGGTTGGACAGTGTGTACTTTCAATGTCACGAACGAAGCCAAATTATGTCAAGGCCTTTGTCTCAGACACAAATTAAATTTATATTTAAGCCAGAATGTGTGATTTGACTCAGGATATGATCCCCTGGATTCCTATAAGCAAGAGATGTCTGCAGGATAGGAACAGCGTAAGCAAAATACAGTCATCAGTGAAAGAACGATCACGAATACATGAAGTCAATTTAATATAAACAGTTTAATAACATGAAATTATGAGAACAGAAAGAGAAGGTAAACAGAAATAGTCCGTTTGGGTGACATGGAGTGAATGGGGCATATAGTACAGAGATTTCTATCGTGTCAATAGGTGCCACGTATTACTTATCTGTACCTTAGCGTCAACGTATTGAATATTCTTATAAAGACTGGACTCGGGTGATGAGGTGATAAGAACAGAATGTCCGGATTCATGGATAATCTCAATGATTATTATCCGTTAAGCAAATATTATAGTCATTGAAGTTGTTGCTGGAGATATATCCATAATTTATGGATAGAAGTTACGGTGGAGTAATGGATGGCGGCACGGATTGAGGAATTCGAATTCTAGTCGAATCCATTACATTTACTTACGTGCTAATATCCTTGGAAAAGGTATGAATCTTCTTCTCCCATCCCAGTTATGAGGCAATGGGTAGATCGGGTTCTATAGCCTTGGATGGCAACTGGTCTATCGCAGAAAGAAATGGCAACCTATTGCGGGAAAAATCTTGCTCCTCAGTCATATATCGAAATATATATGATCGCCTAAGCGTGTATCAATCATGGCACATAAAATAGCAGGACAGACTGGGTTCTATAGAACTCTCTTGGATGACAGCTGGTCTACCGCAGAAAGAAATGGCTACCTAAAAAAAAGTAAAACATCTGCCTCGTCAGTCATGTATCGAAAGGTATATGATCGCCTAAGCGTGTATCACACATGGCACATAAAATAGCAGGACATACCATTGTCTATAGCTTTGGATGACAACTGGTCTACCGCAGAAAGAAATGGCTACCTAAAAAAAAAAAAAAAAATCTGCCTCGTCAGTTATGTATCGAAAAACATATGGTCGGATAAGCGTGTATCACGCATGGCACATAACTGACTGATATTCATTTACGTGCTAATACTCTTGAGAAAGGTATGAATCCTCTTCTTCTCCACCCAGCTATAAGTAAATAGCACGACTGACCGGGTTCTGTAGCCTTGGATGGCAACTGGTCTACCGCAGAAAGAAATGGCAACCTATTGCGGGAAAAATCTTCCTCGTCAGTCATATATCGAAAGATACGTGATCGTCTAAGCGTGTATCACGCATGGCACATAACTGACTGAAAACTGGTTAAATCCACAGCTCCTTTGGTTACTGCCTCATCTATTCCTCTGGAGAGGACACCTCGAGGTGGTGTAATGGTTAGCAAGCTTCTCGCTAGAACTATTACGACTGAGTAGTGAGTTCGATCCTCACTGGGTACCCCCTACTTTCGGCTTTCTAAGCTATTCTTCTGGAGAGATACAACGCAGCATTATTACAGAGAAAAGAAACTTCATCCTGAAATTTTTCACCGTCTTTCATGGTTAAATCATGCCTAGAACGGTCCTACAGCATTCGACAATACCAGAGGATTAACATATTGGTAAAAATTTTATACCTAGTTTGAGGCGAAAGATATTTTATACGCTTTCTGTATTTTTTAATCGAGTTCAATCCAAGCAAGGCAATAAAGCCACTAAGACACGAGGGGGCTACCTGGTGCGGAAGAATTAGAAAACAAACATTACTAACGAGCGAGAACAAGAAGAGTAATCAGGAGGGCAGTAGATAGCGATTGATATTGCATTAATTTTTTTAATATTAAAGCTGACTGGTAATCATGGAACCGGAAGAGAGTTCCACAAGCGAGAATTACGAAAAAAGAAACTGTTAGCATAGAACTTACGGTTACATCTAGCCAGCTTAAGTGTAAATTGGTGAGACCTCGGTGCTAGTACTGCGCTAAAATTCATCCAGTCTAGGTACCATAGCGAAGAGCGATATTTATACTGATATATACACAGAAATGTGGCACAAGGCCAAAAATTGGGATTGGGGAAAAGGACGGCCTTCTTCTGTCTTAACGATAACTTAGCGAGTCACAAACACTGACCCAATCATACAAACAATATTCCTTACACAAAAACGACACATTCTTACGTACCTTTCTTAGTACATCCACCATCATACCTCGATGTCTGATGGGTGGGGAGATAAAACAACAATTCTAAAAACTAACACCACAATAGCGATGAGCACATCCGAACAATTACCCTGAAAGTATTTATAGAAAAGGCACAGGGAGGCAACTTTATGGCGATGGTAAAGTGTGAGTGAAGTAGAGACGCTAGATCAGGACCAATAATATTGCTGATTGTTCTTTGGTTTTTATCAAGGATCTCTAGATATATAGGAGGAGTACCACACCATATGTGGCAGCAATAGTCTAAACATGGACGAATAGTAGGCTTATATATATGTAAGAAATTATCACACTCTTAATATTAGTTGTTACTTTTGCATAATAATAACTTTGTTTACAATAAATTCTCTATAGTGTTTTGAGGACTTACGGCCGTATAGCGTTGAAACATCAATTCTCGTACGATCACCGATGTTAAGCAACGTTGAGACTGGTCATTACGTACATGAGTGAGAGCTTGAGAATACCAGGGGTTGTAGATTGGAATGTGAGGGTGGTGCAATGAATAACGGTTCGGAATTGGAAATCGGAGAACCGAGTTCTAATTCCGGTCGTCTTCATTATATTCACTTACGCGCAAATAGCCTTGAAAAAATTTGAGTCAACCTCTTAGCCCTTTACCTATGAGTTAACTAGTAGAATTTGTATCAATCATTATTATCTCAAAAAAAAAATCCTTACACTCTAAAAATATTTTCTGTCTTTAAATAACTTGCAAAAGGTTGATAAAGCGTAAAAAAAATCAATTAATCAATATGGTATTTTGCTCTCTCGCTCTTTTTTTATATATATATATATATATATATATATATATATATATATATATATATATATATATATATATATATATATATATATATATATATATATATAAAGAGTATTTTGGTTGTTTAAGGTGTGATATGTGCACGAATTACGCTATGACAACATAACCCACGAGAGAGTGTGGTACATGTGTGATCAATGTAAGAATATAATTTTTTTTTTTTATCATTGGTATTGAGATGCAATTTCCAAAAGGACACAAGAATTTATTAAAAAAAAACAAAAACTTTGTTGATACGGAGAGGGTATTTTTGATATTCCGTGTTTTTGGTTATAATTGGGCTAGACTTTTAGACGAAATATCACGAACCTCTCTCTGCTCTATCATAGTTTTCATGGAAAGTGTCCAGACGAACTTCATTCCTTAGTTTCACCAGTTCTAATCTTCAGAGTTAAGACCCACCATGCCACACAAATTGTAACGAACCATCTATATTCGCTTCGTATTCCATTGTTGAGATGGAGTTTATTTATTCCTTATGTTTAATTTTAGTAGTTACCATTGTTATTTTTATAGAAAGTAGAACATCAAATATATATATGTGTATAAAAAATAATATTGATTAGATATAATAAAAAATACGTTTCAAAATAGTCATTATTTTTCTACTCGTGAAATGTAAAATTACGACAGAAAATGTCTTCTTACGGCTAATAATAAAAACTTTAAAGGCTAAGTGTTGTAAAATATACCTCTGCAAATGCAATGTATGTAAGCAATTCAATGTAAATACAAGGAATAACATGTAATGAGTTTAATTTTAACAGATCTCCAAATGGGGTTCATGGTAGGTAATGGGTTAATAAGAAGTGTTGACATTAATGCATACAAAATTTCACTGCCCTAGCATAACTACTTCATAGGCAGCCTATTGAATTTTAGCCCACCCTCGTACAGAATAAATAGAATAGATTAAACTACCAAAAACGTGAATTATCATTGAAGGGCGTCTTAAATCGTTCGAAAAAGTTATAACAAATTCCAGAGAAAACAAAGACACTTTAATACTATAAGACGCTATAACTTCTGGATTTTATTCACAAAAAAACATTCCTCACACTCTTTCTTTGAGTGTGCTTCTAGAAAGGGGCTGGCCAAACCGCGGCTCGCGAGCCATATGCGGATCCTCATGCGGCTCGTGGAAATATGTTGCATGAGTTATCAAAGTTTATATAAAAGGTAAGTAAGAAAAAATCCAAGCTTTATAATTATTTACTGGGTGTTGAATTGAGACCCCATTGGATTAAAACGTAAGTTTAAATTTAATGTGTACGTAGCAAAAACGTATGTGTAAATTTTGTTCACGTCTTGCGGGTCTGGCACATCTGAACTTTATCGTCCGTGACTCTTATATTAAGCAAGTTAGGCTACCCATCTTCAAGAAGAACAGTATATAAGACGCTCGCTTTATTACTTAGGTTTTGAACTCTAACCTCTGACACCGGAACTAAATATGCAACCACCCTAACCATACAGCAGAACACGTTTTCGTGAATATTAATCCAATGGTAGAATTGAAGCCGAGACAGAAATTTAAAAAAAAATATGCAGGAGGAAGAAATATATTAAAAACAAAAGCAAAAACCAAAAAAAAAAAAAATCTTTGATGAGAAAAAATAAGTAAAAATTAGATTTCATTTTCTTTGACAAGGGCCAATAAAAGGCTTATTACTGACAGTTTTATCGAATGTAAAAGAAGGAAAATAAAGCACTAAACTAAAAACTCAGTAGCAAAGAAACAAAAGATAAAAATTGAGCAAAGAAACAGCGTGAAATTAAAGAACGAACAAAACGAAAGACTAGAAATTAGAAGGAAAAAAAATCCACAAATCCAAAAATCATGAAACATCAACAACTGGAAGGGTTGTTCGAGGCTTCGTGGCTGGTGGCGAATGTATTCTTCATTCACAGACCAGAGTATCCAACGGGCGTGTGTCGGCAAACGTTACATGTTTGATTTGGTAAATAGCGGCGAGGCGCTAACAAACGAGCAACCAACCATGTATTTTGCAATTCATTAAAATTTTCTCAAACACAGCTAAAACAAGAAGAATAGAATGGACGTCCTGTGACATGTGAAGAGAAATAGGTGAACAAAGAGAAAAGATTGAATAAAAAAGAAGATTGTCGCCATGTTTGATCTTAACATTTATAACAATCTGCTGCGCGCGCAAGTTTGTAGAAAATAAACTAATCGAGAGCATTTTCCCCCCTTAAACTTAGTAACTGAGAGCCATTTTGTTTGGGGCATTATCAGATTCACAAAACTAAGGATTAATATTAAATTTAACCATTTTTTTTCTTATTCAATCTTGTAGAAGAGTTCAATACATTTGCCGTTTAATTTTATTCTATTTTAAAAGACAAAGAAATTATTATTGTTAGCATTATCATGACCTAGCTCTGCATCGCTTGCAGCCTATCAGCGTATTTGATACATTTATTTATGTTACTAATCAAGGTGAATTACGGGAATTCAAAATGAATTTAAATGAATAGCTTCCGGCAAGACTTTGATTCATCCCAGCAGGGAAACTTCCTATGCCATGTAGCAACACTTATTTTGTAATGTCCGTCGTAGGAGAGACGTTTTTAAATTACAGATACAACAATAATAATAATATATATATATATATATATATATATATATATATATATATATATATATATATATATATATATATATATATATATATATATATATATATATATATATATATCCTTTACCAGTTTCATGATTTAATTATTTAAGATGAGGTCGACCGTGCTGGCTCTCTGGTGATCTGTGTTCAAACCCAAGTCTCGGCACCAACAATTTATTCCAAAGCCTATCAATTTGATCATCAAGCTGCCGTAAAATAATAAAATAATAAATTAAATCCCTAATCTTAAGAGAAAAAGGAAAAACCCAAGATGCTAACTAGCAATAGGAGATATTAAACGAAAAAAAAAAGTGCAGAAATTTAAATTTTTGAAAAGTGTTTTGATTTGATTGGTACATTTTTTACGGTTTATCAACCCTTTTCAGCTTATTAGCAACACCGGATCAAAAACAACTTCTCCTCCTAGAAACCACCACAACTCGCCGCCGACTACGATTATTACGCAAATACCAGGTGTCCGTCTACCCAAACAATTCCTATTCTCAGAGCTCGCATCTGGCAAGAGACCACATGCCGTTGTCGTCGATTCAAGGGTCAGATCCAAAACACCTTGCTGAGGACATGAATAGAGCCGGTCAACTGGAAGATGGAAGCTGGAGTTAGAACCAATTGGAGAAGAACAGTCCACGAAAAAATATCATCATGCCAAAACACCAGAAGACAAAGAAAAAAGACGAAGAGAGCCCAAAGAAAAGCCATAGCTCTACATCCCATGAACCCTCCTACAATACCATGCGGTGGCTGTGGACGTCTCTTCAGATCTAACACATGACATTTCACTCATAAGGAAATGTCGATGAGCACCTCTAATATTCGGTAACGAGTTGCGGCAAAGACGACGACGCAGGTTATTTAAATCTAAAAAATATTTGTGATCTTAAGAATTTTTTTTTTTGAAATAATAATGGTTTTACTGATACATCTTTTACTAATTAGCCCATAACCGTGGGGAAAGGAGGTGGATTTATGACTTTCCCAAGGGCATTTGCGCGTAATTGGAAATCGGCTCTCCGATTAACAGTTCAGAGCTTTTAAACATTACCACACGTGCACATCCAAGCTTACAGCTCCTGGTATTCTCAAGCAGTTAACCATCCAGGTACTGACTAAGTTCAATGTTGCTTAACTTCAGTGGTATTACGGGAACCGGTGTTTCAACATGATATGGCCGTAAGCGGAAGTGATAGCGAAATTCAAAAGCCTACAGGAATGGCAAAAGATGCCTACCCAAAAATAAACCAAATATTAAAGAACAGAGAAATTTCTTTAGAAAAAAAATGCGGTTTATATCAATTCTGCTATATGGCAGTGAATGCAAAACAATTTGTAGAAAAGACTTATGGCAACAGAGATCTTCTACAAAAGGATACGGAGAATACTATGGTTGGAACAGGAAGTTTTAAGGAAAATGGAAACAAAATGGACGATTATATATATATATATATATATATATATATATATATATATATATATAATCATAAACAGAATGTTGAAATCTCTGGGACACATTATGAAAAAGAAGGCCTGGAGCACTCACAGGATACACTGAAGAGGAGAGAGATAGAAGGAAATGTGTGTAAATGGCTGGGACAACAGGGTGGGTGTTGGATAGTAAAGTGACTAATTTTAAGCAAAGATGAGCCCTGATCGTCCACATCCTGAAGAAGAAGAAGGATGAGGAGGGAGAAAAAGAAAGAGGAGGAGGAGGAAAAGAAGAAAAAGGAGGAGGAGGAGGAGGAGAAGAAAAAAGAGGAGGAGAAGAAGAAAAAGGAGGAGGAAGAAGCGAAGAAAAAGGATCTTGCATCTTAGTGGCTTTATTGCCTTACTTGGGGTAAAATGATTAAACAATTCTTCATTGCTCTTTTATTGTCCTCTCTCTTTAATAATGTTTTTCTTTTTTCTTATTCTTTCACACCTCGTAATCCCTTGTGTCTTAGTGGCTTTACTGCCTTACTTGGGGTGAAATGAAAATAAACAAGTACAATTCTTTTTTTCTCCGAGATTAACAGAGATCCACCTACTGGTAATTAAGACCGTAGATAGTGGGGAAGGATTTAGATTCGTACATAGCTCAAGTGTATTTGCATGTAAGTTAATGTAACGGACCTGATTGTCATATGGGAGTGGATAAAGAATCAGCAGTTAACAAATATTTTACAGATGTATTCTTTCTTTTATCTTTCTCTTGTTCTGTTTTTTCAGAAAGTATTGAGTTGGCCAAAAAGTTCGTTCGGCGTACGAAGTAAATGTTCTACTTCCACGGAACGAATCTTTTGGCCAACCGAAATATGTCAATGCATTGCAATATTTTATGCCTTTTCATCTTGTCTTTCAATGTTTCCAACTTGACACCCAAGAGGAAGATTTTGAGAAGAGAAATTGTCATTTTTGCATATTTTTCTATACAGAACAGCATGCTCATCTAGTTGTTATAATCACAATGTTTTCCCCCTCCAAATCGTTTCAGGTGTCTATCTCCGTTAACGTTCGTTCAATTTAGAAATTAGCACTTTATTCAGTTCACAAGGGTCGATTGTTCCGTTTTCCGTGCTTTGGGGATTTTTCATATCTGTTAATACCCACATCAAGCTACACAAAGGTGTGACGTCGTCCCCTGGTCGCAGAGCCAACTGTGACGTCCTATCCTGGTCTACCACGGCACCAACTGTGACGTCCTCGCCGCGGCGCCAGCTGTTCGCTCCTCGCTGCTCCGTTCGGGTGTCGCCGCTCCAAACGTGACGTCCGCCTGTCGCGTCAGTCGTGTTGTCTCGTCATGTGACGACCAACTGGCTTGGTATCGGTCGCGGCACCCAAATGTGACGTTCTAACCTTTTGATGATTCAGGTGGAATCTGGGTTAGATTCGATATCAGCCTCGTCGTTTAACTCGCTTCCAACGCCTGGTTACCAAAGTAACTGCATTGATCTCCAGTCTGCCTACCCACGTTGTGAATTGATCTTAGGCAGACGAGGTCAATCAGTAGTTGGGTCCGTAATGCAAATCGGGTTCAACGGGGGTGACACACACAAATATGCATAAAAGAAAATAAAATCAAAACTCAAAAGTTCAAGGTATCAAAGAAAAAGGTAACAAACTTTATGTCTAGTTGTTCGATACATAGGACTGCATCTATCTCCCGACCCGTTCTATTGATTGTGACACGTTGTTTTCCGTTAGGCGAGATTTAACGCTTCAACGCTTTTTAAGAAATTGGTTTTTTGGTGTGTCTTCAGGCGAAAGTCGAAAAACTTATTTTGGTGGTATGGATCTAAGTCGCTCTTCAAAATAACTTGTTCTTGGATTGAAGAAGAGTTCGGAATGTGCGTGAATCTTTCAAGTCAGCTATCTGCGAGGCTTGCCTCAACTGGAGACTGACTCTGGGAACTGTCTCGAACTCAACTGAAACTCAACTGGAACTGAACTCAAACTCATTTCTGCTCGTTGTGGCTTCGCTTATATGGACGCCGACCAAAACCGGGGTGGGCCTGTCGGCGTCGGGGGTTCCTCGATAATTCTAAATACGTATCCACCTCTTTTATTTCTGGTTAGGAATTTCCCACTCTTTTCCATTTTTGGGAGCCTTTTCTTACTCCCACCTTCTCACCATACTTCAGAGGGGCGTGAGCTGCCCTCCCCACTTCTTCGTAGCAGCTTCTCCTACCTACCCTCTGGATGGGCGGCTACAGCCTCCTTCGTGCGTCACGTGATCACCACTCGACCAATGATGTCCCAGTCGGGCGTGGACGAATCCGCGGCTTTGTTTCGGGAAAAAAATATCTTGCTTAACTAAAAAATTTATCCTTTTTTTTTTCTTTACTTCCTCCTAATCGCAGTTATCATTTTCCCTAGCCGCAACGCGGTGGTCATAACTCTTGTTCTACACCTGGTCTTCGTCAATTATTTTATCGCTAATTATCAGAATGGGTGGTCTTCTTAACACGGCCAAACGTCGCCCCAAAAAGAAACATTTCTAAGTTCCCATTCATTCTTTGGCGAACATTTCTTGATAACATAATTTTATTATCGCAGGCATAAAGATGTTCCGTCTTAAGAAGTCGGTCAGTGGACAATCGTGTGTGGCTTTGATACAATTAATTTTTCATATCTATCCAAAGTCCTTTTAGTTGCCTGTTTTTCGTCACTTATCGAAATAACATTTTCATTTGGATTTTTCTTTGGCCAGTCCGTCTGTAGTTGATAATCAGATGCCTTCCCGTACCAACAGTTTGTTTACATATCCTTAGATAACACAGCCGTCACCAAAACATATCTGATTCTTTTTTTTTTATTTTTACTCAGAATTTCCCTGTCATTGTAATGACACTCTTTCGCCATTTGTTACTTATCAAAATATCCTTTATCCATTGTCTCTTAGCCGTGTGTGTGTTCTGCTTATCATCTACGTTTGGTCTCGCCTCTCTTTCTGCCTTCTTTTCTTTCTTTTCTTTTTCGGCCTCGATAAATGGTGCCACAAAGGTATCCCTTGATATTATTTGCACTGACACGATTTGAAGTTGCACTATGCGGTTTTCAGCACAACTTGACCCACTGGACTGAACGCGAGAATGGAGAGAAGAGCAGGGAATTCGATAGGTTTCAACCAAATCAGTAATTCACTGTCATCAGGTCATCCCATAAGTTCTGTCCGAATTTTGAGTAAAGAAAACAAGTGACCAAATGTTACATTTAATTACAGATTCAATCACAATGTATTTTCCCTGATTATCTATGACTTCCTTCCATCTATTAACAAGCTTACTAATTCCATTACCGTAAAATTCTTTTGGTTTTCATTCAAAGAATTCACAAGTGTCAGTTTTAACCTCTTCCTGTGTTACAAAAGCTGTTTCTTCGAAATGATTCTGTAAGCTACGAAAGAAATGGTAGTCTGAAGGAGCAAGATCGGGAGAATAAGGTGGATGAGGAATTTTCTCCCGACCAAGTTCTTCGATCTTTTGTGACGTGATTCTTGCTGTGTGGGGTCGTGCATTGTCCTGATGAAACATCACCCCTTTTCGATTCACTAAAGCAGGTCTTTTTTTTCCTCAAAGCTTGGTTCAAACGCTTTAATTGCTGACAGTATATTTGAGCATTAATTGTTGCATTAGGTGGTAAGAATTCAAAGTGTATTATTCCTTGGCGATCCCACCAGGTTGAAAGAAGAACCTTTTGCCCATGAAGTTCCCTTCTCGGCTGTGGCTGGGGTTCTTCCCCTTTACCAAGCCACTGTCTACGACGCTTAACATTTCGATAAAAGATCCATTTTTCGTCGCCAGTCACAAGTCTATGCAAAAAAGGTGAAACGAGTTGGCGAGAGAAGAGCAGATGTCAACTCGGGATTTGAGGTTGTTTTCAGACAATTCATGAGGCATACATTTTCCATGTTTAGGAACTTTTCCAAGTTGCTGAAGATGACGATGAACAGTTGTATGGTTTGAACTGAGAACCACTGCCAATTCCTCAACTGATAAAGCAGGATTTTCTTCAAGGTTCGCTTCAAGAAGCTTTTCATAAAACTCAACTGGACGTCCGGTTCGATCTTCATCTTCGAGGGTGAAATCTCCACCTCTGAATTTTGCAAACCATCTTCTGCAAGTTCTTTCATTCACACATTCCTCTTCATAAACTGAGAAAATGTTTCTAGCCGCTTTGGCTGCTGAGTTTCCTTTCTTGAACTCATAAAGCATTATGTGCCTCAAATGATTCTTGAGTACTTCCATATTAGCAGATTTTTAATCAAACAAAATTTAATTTTATTGTTCTCTGAAATAAAATTTCAGAGAACAATGCATCTAAACATGAAAATAATGTTCATAAATACTCTTTAAATTTCATTCATTTTAACAAAAAATTAAAATTCGGACAGAACTTATGGGATGACCTGATACAACAGGCGAAAGGTTGTAAGTATAACAAAGAAAATGATCCCACCGGTTCAAATATAAAAAGCATATTATCAAAACAGAAATAATAATAAGTGAATTCATCATGAATTTTCTCCTGATTCTCTCTCACATTTTGCCTGTATCTTCTCATTCTCTACCTATCCCTTTCAATCTTCATTGTAATTCATGTTTATATCCGTTATGTAAATATGGGTTAGTTTTATATGCCAAAAAGAAAGAAGGAACGTACATATATTTTCTACTCCATCTTCTCTTAAGTCCTGCGTAT